TCCGTTTCACACTTGAAAAGCTTCAACCCCGAGCCGAACCGGGTAAGGCACTCTGGCTGGATCAAAACCAACCCTGGTAGCGACCAGGGTTGAAAATCTCAAGCCGGATCCAAACTGTATTTTTTTACGTGACCTGTGTAGAAAATGGTAGTGTGAACGACCCCTAGTCACGTGGCTGATCTGTGTTGATGCACCCATGATGTACCGATTTTTAATGACATGTCAAAGGTCAATAAACAATTGTGGCCAGAGTGGCGAGCGCTTTACATGTGTACACACGGCCCACTTCAATCACATACTGGAGAGCATCGTAGTACGACATTCATCGCTGAACAATCATCGCTAAAAATGGGCCCCAAAAAGGACAAAAAGCCGGAAAAGGAAAAGCAGACAGACCGTCGTAGAAGGACGAAGAAGTCAAGGTGCCTCTAACGATTTGGTCGGCAGAGGAAATTCAGTCCCAACTTGACGGAACGACACGCAACAGTAAGGTTTTTAGCAAGATAGCTGACGTTTTGGCTGAGCAAGGCATACGGGATAAGACGCCAAGCCAGTGCCGCAACAAGCTGAAGAACTTAAAGCGCGAGTACAAGAAAGTAAAGGACCACAACAGGCACCAATCCGGGGGGGGGGGAAAAGAAAAACCTGTCCCCACTTCGAAATGTTGGACGAAGTCCTTGGGTGCAGGCCGACAATTGAGCCCGAGCATCTGCTTGTTGACACAACCGCTTTGGTAAACTGGTGCGTCAAATTATGGGAAGAGCCACCGCTGTGCGCCACTGGGCCTCTGCAGGTTGAGAATACAACAGTGTAAATACGCTGGCCTGATATCCGGATCATACATTACACGGTTCACGCAAGAGCCGGTTCACGCAAAAGTGGTGTGAATGTTGTATCTCTCCAACCCGTGTTGAAAATTTTTGAAATGGAACCGGTGTGGACCCGGGTAGGTTTGAACGCAGATCGAAATAGAGATACATGTAGCGTGAAAAGCCTTAATGGCCTACTAGTCCTAATAATGGATAAAATGGTCAAACTAAGTCAGCCTATTGTACTTTTACACTCAACATTCAAGGGTACATGTACATAGATCCCCATATTATACAGTATATATGATGTCAATTTCTGTATAATACTGGGTACATACATCTGGTACATGTACATGTACATCTACATGTATTGTCCATGTACATTTACATCACACACAATGTACATGTACATATTGCTTCCTTTGTCATAACAACTGGACCAAAATTACATACATTCATAACTGCATTTATCTTTGCTCTTTCAGACTGGATGATTTTTACTATTAAAATCTTCTATACATTAAATCACCAGCCACAACTGCATCCTTCATTCCTCTTGAGCCTTCCACTCACCATGCAGTGTCTCATATTATCATCTACCGGGTAAATGTACATGTAGTTTGACACATGCAGATCCCCATGTTTGTAAACTTCCGCTAATTTAAGCTGATCAATGTTATCCAGGTAAAGCTTTACTAAATTGCTGGTTCCCTGTACATTTACTGGCTCATTTTATCATTTATTTTGTGCCCACAGGCGGAATTGAACGGTGATGATCATTTTACGAAGATATTTCCTGGAGCACATGCTTACATTAGCATCAACAGTAGGTAACTACATGTACATAGGGCAAGGAACAGTTTTATGCCCAGTTTAGACAAACATTCCAGAGCTGTGCTGAACTAATGGAGTTATGAATAACTTGAGTTGATCTTTTGCCTCCATCATTCAATCTTTCACCATCAAGTGCACTTTACAGTAAATACTGTAATTGTTCCTAATTGTTCCAGACATCATATTTTTGAATTACAATTAGTTCAGCTCGACTCAAAAACACCAGTCTGAACTGGGTGCTATTTCAGTAAGACTCCCTGAGAAAATGGCTCTATGTACGTGAACGTATACAAAGGTTGAATAGTGGAATACCATATCATACATACCCGATGGGTTCGACATTCCGGCATTCGTGTGATTAAATATCCAGTCTGTTTTATTCTACTTTTTATAAGGTATAATTACAGCTCTTAGCGGAGAACACAAGGCCAGAGTAAAGTTTCTCCAGCCTCACAGAAGGCACTGAGATCACTTCATATTTCCTGAAGTTGATGACATCCAAACAGTTGACAGGTTGATAACTCTTCTGCCAAAAGGATCAAGCTGCCAGAGAGTGGATTGTTCCTCACTTTGTTTGGGACTAATTTGCATTCTTCCAGTATGTGTTACAGGTACAGTACAATGTACATTGCAACTGAAAGTTAACCTCAAAAGGGGAAAAACTTTTCACACTTTTTCCCCCTCTGTGAAAAAGAAATTCACAAGTGGCAAATTTTTTCACACTTTTTTTCACCAGTGGGAAAAATGTTAGCACCTTTTTACAAAACGTGGGAGTATTTTTCACAGCTGTTTTTCACAAGTGGGAAAATTTTTCCAGGCTATATAGTGAAGAAATGTGCAAGCAGCCTATGGAGTTGAGGTTGCCCCACACCAGATCCATGTTTACTGTAGTCCCTCCTCCAAGCTTCCTGATGCGCTTTCAATTTCAGATTGACCATGTGTCAAAAGTCACTTTGGTCAAGGGAACACATGCAGCATCTGCTGAATAAGTACGGTATTTACAGAATGGAATGAAGAGTTTGCTGAGTACCATCACCGTACTTAACACCAAGTACATGTACATGTAGCTGTGCCAAAGCATGGAAGGAAGTTAACAAAACCGACGATGTACCAGTAGGGCTTCCGAATACAGCAATGGCTTTCCATACGTTCAAACACTATCCACTGCAGCTACGACATTCACAATACCATTGGACAAGGTCAAATGTCAGGCATGACGTTTTTTTATAACTCATGCAAAATTCACACTCATAATTAACCAGTACTTTGTGTTACAACTGCACTGGTACCTGTATGCACATGTACATGTAAATGTGGCTCTCGTAGAAAGAGCAGTAACCAACAGCCAACATAAGACTGCATTCTGCTTCGGAAAAAGTTGGAACTTATAGTAAGAAAAGACACACAAGTTAGGAAGAATATTGCCAATTTTATAAGTATTCCTACAAGTACCAGTATGCATCAGCCATCTACATGTACCAGTAAGTCTGAAGATTTTTTCAACTTTGAATTTTTCCTCTTTAGTCTGGTGAAACTTCTGCAACATACATGAATTATAATGTTAACATTGAAGTGATTATGAACTATTTACTCAGCATTTCCTTCAGTTAGAGTCCAGTGGATTGAAAAAGGGTAGTCTGAAAAATTCAATTTTGCTACAGAAGAATGAAAATACTATGAATAGTTAAGAGTGTTTTTTGGCAAACAGTTCAAGAGACACAAAGCCTGCAATGTAATCCTCAGTTTGTATGCATGGCCCCCCCTGGTGGGCCCTTGTTCTGATCTAGGCTTATGTGATGTCCTAAAAACTTTTTCAGACTTTCAAATCATTTTCTTGGTTGGAAGAACATTCTCTAAGAAAAGGCCCCTCTGAACACATCCAAAGGAATTGAACTTGGTATATGTAGCTGTTTGCCTCTTGAAATTTGGTTACTGCAAACACTCACTGCTCAGTTGTTTGTTGTGCAAGTTGAAATTTACAGACTTTCCTTTCTCAACCCACTGGACTACATGTACATGTAACAGCAAAGCAAACACTGACTAACCTGCATGAACAGATGACTTAATTCACGTCTCAATCCAAACAATTACATGTACATGTAGATGAATAAGCAAAGCAAACAAATGCTACTTAATTTTACAAGTTGTCCAAAGATGTTTTTTCATGCATGAAAGCTTATTATCCCTATCTTTACTCTTGGTACCAAGACCTTCCTGTATCCAGTGACACAAACTCTCACATGACAAATCACTATCACAGGAAGGTCTTGGTTATTTTGTTTAATCAGGGGCAGTAACATACATGTACTAGAGTAATAGTATGACATGCATTATTCATATCACATGTGTGATGATCAACAGAAGTTATGCAAATGACCTTCAACATGCTTCACATTTATGAACTGTATGTTTTCATACTGAAACATCAGCCAACATCATGTTAAACATGGTTTTTACAGACGCCAAGTTAAGTGTAAGTACTCAAGAAATATCCCTCTATACTCTGACAGTAGCCAGGAACTTATGATGAGCACAGACAACAGAACAATTTATGCTATATTGCACACAATACGGTCACGACATATGATGTCCCCGCACGCTTCAGCACTGCGAATTTTGCTCATTTCTCCCTCAAACTGGCAATTTACGGGATGAATACCCAACAAATACATGTAGCTATACATGGGTAGTTGCTAGAAGAAGAATCTATTGGCCTGTCGCAAAGTCACATTAGAACCGCTAAAGACCGCATTTTACATGGAAATTTTTGGACTTCAAGACTGGGATGCCATTTTTGTTTTCAATTCTAGGTCATGTAACATCATGAACTTATATGAATAATTCAATTATAAGACTAAAATGAAACTGTTGATTGCCTCCCTGGAAAGTCCAGGAAAACAATAAAAACATAAGCAATGCTTGGAATTCAGTCGGAGTTTTGAGAGCAAAATAAGCGAAGTAATCAAGACACCTTTAGCATGGAGTAGCTGGTTCAAATCATAAGAGGGTGCTGCCACAATCAATCGCATATTATAAGTTTATGACACTTTAATTGCTCAAACAGCACACATATCCGATTGCAGCACCTCAAATGGAGTCTTAGACCCAAGACTACCCTAGCTTATGATAAAACCACAACATTGGTCAGTATGTGCCAAGCTTGGTCATATTAGTCTTATTTTGACTTTGTCTTGGGACTCCTTTTGGGGGGACACTCTAATAAAAACTTGCTGGTACCGTATGGTTACACTTTCAAAATGAAAAAGTGATAAAGATCAACATGTACATGTACTGTGTTCTGAAGTAAACTGATATCAACAGTACCATTCAAAGTTCTCAAAGGTTTGAGATACTCACCCATTGTAGGCAGCCTTGACTGGTATCTGGGGTACCTCCTCCTCTCCCATGTTCACTCCTGGCATAGGCTCTGACTACACCAATATCACAAGGAAAGTGATCTGCAAAAAAGCAAGATTTGAAGTTTTACAGTATTAAATGGTGGTTAATGATGTAATAAGGGATAGGGATAAAACAGACAATGACCCCTACAGGGTACCAATAGCAGTACATGTCCGCCTCTCTTCTTCCAGGGTGCATGCTGATCCCTTTTGTATGCTTGCACTTACTACTACAAAGAAGAATGAATCTGCAAACAAAATTTTCACAGCATACCATGAGCATACTATCTGACTGCTGTCCCCGGGAGAAGTGTCAAGTAAATGATCACTCAATGCTAAGCACTATGAAAATCTACCTGTAGCTCTATGATGTAACAGACATTCCAGGATGGCCACAGCAGTGCCACAGGGTACATGTGCATGTAAAAGTGTTGTTAGAGTGTCAAGAAATTAGTATCACTGCCTTGATCTACAGGTACACAATTTAAATGAATGAATATACTGTATGTAACGTACAGTGGAATCGGAAAATGTTGAAAATTAGGAATGAGGTCATTCTTTAAATTTGAGGTCCAAAGTGTGACATTTATGTGTCTGTCACATCTGACTTACCGGTATGTTATTGGAAATACCACTGAAATTGATTTCAAACTATTACTGTTTGGCCGGTACTGAGTAATTTGCATTAATTCATCATTCTTGGAAATTAAAAAATGTGTTCTGAACTTACAAATCATATGTCAGGTGTGACAGGGACACATAAAAATTGAATCCTTTATTTACACGTACTTGTATAGAATGACACAATGGTGAAAATCATGAAAACTTGATTTTTAAATATTGATGGAATTTGAAAGTGTTGTCATGCCATGGAATTTGAAAGTGTTGTCAAGTGTTGTCATGGAGACATTGGCTTTAAATGCACAGCTGGGGTGCCCGAAATCGGACAAAGGAGCTGGGCCTTGAACAAAATACCGTACTTGGAACAAAAGACCAAGCTGCAGGGAATTGTTAACATTTTTTTTCAGTAGTCAATAGCAGAGGAAATCCGTCATTGTTTTTAAAGATTATACCATGCTGTTTGTGGCATTCAGTGTGAGCAGATTACCACCGGGGACAAAGCACTCCAGCGCTCCAGCGATGAGCATTATAATACCACTGCACTCTAATCTGGCTGCATTTGAAATGACGCCAGCATCCATCGTTGTCGTTGTCCATCCCTGTTACGTCTAGTATTTAATTTTAATGTTTAGAACTCATTGTGTAATTTCCAAGACTGAATAAGTTCTGCAAATTACCTGCCAAACAAATAAAAATAGTTTGAAATCAATTTCGGTGATACATTCCTTGTCAAACTTATCAGATGGTATACATGTCAGAGGTACATGTAACAGGGATGGAGAAATGTCACACGTTGGACCCCAAATTTATAGAACGACACATCTGGAAATATTGTCAGCTTACATCTACATGTACATGGAATTTCCAACACGAACAACAAGAATATTCATGACGTCTCATTCACTACGCCTGGGGTCAAACATGGGTCGCACACAGAATTGTGTGCGGTACCATTACATAATCTGCCACACGTACAGAGACTGTGTGTGTAAACATAACACAGTGAACATTTCAGCATTTCTCTTTGAACAAATATTTAGGTCCCACACATGTACACGTACATCCATATTAACATGGATGTATGTTAATGTAGATTAACATTAACATCCATCTCTTGCGAAAAAGATTCAGTTTGCGAAGCACCAACCACTGGTAGCACCATGCTATGAGTATGATAGACAGGTTTCCATACCAACATGTCCTTTATTTTCCTCTTGCTTAGTGGAAATGCAACATGTATTTGAAATGGGGGCTCAGAGTGGTTTTAGACCCAGACATTTCAAAAAGATTCTCCCCTTGATATTAAGTTTTTAATCAGTTCACTAGTATCTAATGAGATAACGTTCACCAAAAATTATTTTGTTTTTTAATACTTTTACCGGATATTCCACTTAAGTACGTACCTTAGCTTTTTTGAAGAAAGGTAGACTTATCATAGTTGAAAACAATGTCAACAAAAAAACCCTGCTTTTCAAAACCAAATTATATCTTCAGATGTAAACTTTCGCATTATTTTGTAGCTAGCTTGTTAGACACTCTTTCAGCTGATATAAATTTGCTTTCGAAAAAATTGGATAGAGTGCAGAAATTAGTGTTTACCCTTTACAGTAAACTATGAAAAGTACCAAACAAGAAAAATACACATCGACATATGTTTGTTGATGCATTTTTACAATCGGTCATAAACGGCCTGGGCAAAAATGACTACTTTATTCATAAATTGGTCGACTGATTGATATGGCTACAAATATAATCAAGCGGAAAAGTCGCATAATTCATCATTGTGACCAAAAAAAATCGCCACGCAGGATTTGAGGTTGTTTCAAGTACAATGAACAGTGCCCTCTATTGTTGAGTCATGTAGAGTATACTGCAGGTGATTGCTGCCGATGATGTTTGGCCTATCGCTCAGTACCATTGCATTCGGTTGAATGCCATCTACCTCGCTGTAATTGTGTGGACTTTGTGTGTGAAGGTTAGTTGCAATTTGAGGGTTTTAACACAGCTTAGGTGGAATTTAAACTGAAAAATAGTTGAAAGAAATGTAACTTTTTGTCAGGGGTAATATCGACTGTTGATCCCAACAAATGTTGGAGGGTTAAGAGATATTTTTACACCAGTTGTCATGTAAATGAGCCAAACGAATTGGACTTGGTGTTGTGTCGTAGCCTGGAATAGCGGATAGGAGTGTTTTTCAAACTGCCTAGCGATTGGCCAAATACAACATCTGATTTGGAACTCAGCTCTTCAATTGTGAAATATTTCAACACCTTTTGCGTGGTTTTATTTCTATGGAAATGTTGATTAAAACTTTTGACAAAGACTTCTGAGCAATAAATAAACTGAAAATTAAAATTATGGTTTTTTTTGCAGATAAAAATCATGACAGAACACAAAAGCATTACAGGAACCTCCATGGACAGAAACATGGTCTACACTATTTCAACTTGAACTGGAAGATAATTGAAAAAAAACTTGAAAGGAAAATCATGGGTTGAACAAACGAGGCTAATTTCATTGAGATCAGCAGCAAAATACATGCCAAATTCTTTACCTTCACCTCTCAGGTTCAGAATGCACTGAGGGACAGTCACCCAATGAAAATTGCTTCTTTAGGAAGAATTGAAAAACATGATTGAATGGGAAGTAGAGCGAATGGGAAAGAGAGTGACTGGGAAAAGGTAACTTGTTCAGTTTTCCAGATTACTTCATAATTTCAATCACTAAAATGCTTAACGAAAGAGAGACATAGACCAAATGAGGAACTTGCTTTATTGAAATAATACCTCTCAAATCAAGAAAAAAATTATTGTCATTTTATTAAAAATATTCAATAGGCCTAAATTCAAAGAACATGAAGTGAAAGTGAAACGAAGTCACAGGATTTCTTTTCATCATTTCCCCCTTCCTTTCCTGTTATGTTGCAATGAAATACAAATGCATAATGATCTCACTTCCAAACTGAGGTGATCATCTCTTTAAAATGATCAAAGATTTGGTTCAAAACTGCAGTAGCCACAGGGTGCGTGCCTGCTCTTGCCAGGATTGTAAATAACTGTCAATAGAGGGCGCCGTCATTCATGGAGATCAATGAAATGCGCTTTTGCCAATGTGTCCATTGCTTTCTGTAGACAAATTGAAAACCCATGAGGACTCTAAATAAGTCTAAAGCCTTGTAAAATTGTTTTAATTGATGCGAGTGAAAATAATCTGAGAGTATTCACTGATGTCTGGGTCAAGTAGGGTTTTAAATCACTGTGGGGTGGGAACCAGGTCCTATTCAACAGTATACAATGAATAAGTCAATGTATGCAAATGCACTGCGGTGGGCCTCTCTAGGAGCTGGACCAAAAACAATGAGCAGCAGCATAGAAGTTTGCCAAAAATTCATGAACTTTAAATGACTGTAACAATAAACAATACACGTATGTTTGATTGAATTCAAACTTCACATTTGTGATAAGGAGTGTCTGTATGTGCACGCCAAGTTTTTAAAAATCAGCCCGGCACAACTGAGTTGGGGGGGGGGTTGAATCCCCTCCCACCGGCAGTGAGATAGGTCAAAATAACCCTGCTCTTTGAGGGTTAAATGAAACTACATGTACATGTACACTACAAAAGTATTCAGTTAATTACGTGGACAATCTCCCTTTTTTTCTAAAGATGTTTTTTCTTTCACATGTACCGGAACACATCTTAATGACTGGACCACATGCTTACTTGATTTCACCACTGCACAGCTTTGACTTTGCGCGTAAACTTAGTGGCTTTGTTTAAATACAGACAGACCCACAGGGAACACTCATTGCATGGGTAAGTGGTGTACATGTACAGGCACATACAGGTGTAGCATCTTATGAGCCTTGTGTCTGTAAGCAATTAACCGCTGTTAAGGTTTTTCATGATCAGTTGGTTACATGTAAGAATAATGAGACAAACCGATGCCTTGGAAAATGAGCACCAATTTCTACCCTACTTTATCATTTGACTGGCTACATGGGCAATTTTCCTCTAAGAGTTTACAATGCGTTGACCAATCACAATGCACGAAATCCATCAACTCTTTAAAAATGCTCATAGGGTCAACAGACTTCACACCCAGTGATCAGTCAATGCGTTGCAACCTCTTGGAGGCACACTATTTTGAAACGCTCGTATTTAAGACTACTCATATATATATACATGTATATATGTGTGTCAGGATAGATCTTTTAACCGCTTATGAAAATTTAAAGGTCTTTCCATTATATCAAACTTCTAGTTTGATGAGGCCTGAAGGTTTGCACATGCCCTGTATGTATGACGGTCACTATATTTTCATGCATCTACAGCAAACTTTGCCACAGACATCAACTCAAATACACGTACCAGTACATTTGTTAATTTTTCCACCAACAGCCAGAGGGCGCTCGACTACATGTACTTGATGTCTCTGATAC